TGTGTGTGTGTGTGTGTGTGTGTGTGTGTGTGTGTGTGTGTGTGTGTGTGTGTGTGTGTGTACAACACTAGAATTGTACACTCATTTGACTGAGTGTAGCACTCGCATTTTTAGAACTTTTTCTGTTAATATTAATGCATGCCTATACCTGCTTGGATGGCTCTGAGCGGTGTGTTTGTTGGTGCGCGTGTGCCTCGCTAATCCTTTGAGCCAAAGTTTTGGAATGAAAGGCAGAGGCACATTGCTGATGGAAAGGTGAGAGAGGCCTTCAAGCTCCCGACTGTGGGACTGAGCAGCAGAGGTTCTCTCCATCTCTTCACTCCGGCCGTGCACCTTCTCCTTCATGTTCCTCTGTTCTTCAGTATCTGTCTGTCATTCTCACCTTTCTGAAATGTCTCTTCTTCTCCCTGATATCCTCCACCTGTCCTACCTTCTCAGGCTTTTTGCTTACTTTTTTATTCCTTCATGCACCTTTCATTCTCTACCTTCTCCTCTCCCTCCTTCTATCACTCCCTTAGGAAATCTGATTTCCCCCCTTCTTCCTGGCCTGTTCACAATGATCCCAGTCTGCATGACTGATAAATACCATATCACCCTGAGCATCTGGATACACTTTGGCCATATTATTAGTGGCCATTCACGCACTTTCACACGCTAAACACTATGGAAACATGTGTGTGTATACAGTACAGATTTAAGGCTGTCAGGAAGTTGGACAAAAGAAAATGAGGCAACAGACTAAAGCTGCAACACCTGGAGAGATGTTTCTCCAATTGTGTTTAAAAATGCACTCTCTCATAATTACCTGTAACTTATTTGAATAAAAACACTGTTATTATTATTCATATAAATGTGCAAATACATGTTAATGTTTGCCCAAAGGCTAGCACTGGATAAAAGTCCAAGTCAAACACGGATATTCCAGTCTGACGCAGTTGGAATATCAGTGTCTACTTCATTGTGTTGTTTTATTGCTTTCAGTAGTCTTGTTCTCTTTTTTGTGGTTACAAGTTTGAGTTAGTAAGATAAAAGTAAATTGTACACCTTACCACAATATGCCAGGATATCCATTATGTCTGACAGTGCTGAAGACTAAAGATTTCCGAGGCCCTTTCTGACTCACAAAGTGCTTCTATTCATCAGCAGATTCAACACATATGATTGTATTAATGAAATGACAAGTGTGGAACTTCTTCCCCTCAGAGTTGTTTACAACAGATCAGATACAGAACCCACATCAAAGAGACACACACGTCACCAGTGAGGCCCACTAAGTCAGCCTTACTTCCCAGAAGACCTGCTCCAGAAATGCTGTGTCACAGTGCGGGGAATCAGAAGTGGGTTTAGAAAGGGGAGTGGGGGGGGGGGTTGGTTTGT